TATAAAGAGCTCACACAACTCCATCCCCAGAAGAGAAAGCAAACCCACAAAACAATCCAATTAAAACATGGGCAGAGGACCTGCACAGACTTCTCCAAACAGAACACACAGAGCGGCGGCCAACAGAGGAAAAGATACTCAACATCACTGACCATCACAGAAATGTAAATTAAACCCACAATGCAATGCCCCCTCACATCCTCAGAATGGCTGTCATCACATCCACAAACAACAAGTGTTGGCAAAGATGTGAAGAAGAGTGAACCCTCATGCACTGTTGGGGGGAGTGCAGATGGTGCGGTCACTCTAGAAAGCTGCGTGGAGGGGCCTTAAAAAAATTACAGACCAAACTGCCTCATTACCCAGCAAAATCCCAAAACAAGGATGTGAAGAACTGCACGCACCCTGTGCTCCCTGCAGCGTCACTGACAATGGCCGCGCTGTGGAAGCTCCCAGGTGCCCTGAGGGACCTAGAGGGGACGGTGCTGGGTAAAGTAAGTCAGACAGAGAAACACAAACACCATAACATTTCACTGAAATGTGGAATGTCACACCCATGACCTCTCCTTCTCCCCTCTTCATGTTTTGTTCTTGTTGTTGGGATGATACATGATAAATATTAATTGATTTGGATCTAAGCCTTATAAACCCAATTCCCATTAAATCCACGGAGCTCTTAACAAATATACTTGAAAAGACCAGCGAAGATTAGAGAATAGAAAATGTGGACTTTTAAACTGCATAATGGAGAAAAAACTCTAAAAAAGGGTAGAGTTTCATTCATATTAATATTCTTTTTATGTCAACCCTTGTATTGCCAATGTAATATTCAAGAATACATGAGACCCAGCCACCCTGTCTCAGTGGTTGAGCATCGACCTATGAACCAGGAGGTCATGGTTTGATTCCCTGTTAGGGCACATGCCTGGGTTTAGGGCTCGGCCCCCAGTGTGGGGTGTGCAGGAGGCAGCCAATCTATGATTCTCTCTCATCATTGATGTTTGTATCTCTTCTCTCCCTCTCTTTCCTCTCTGAAGCTAAAAAAAAATGTGTGCCTGACCCCAGCGTGTGCCTCACCCCAGTGTGTGTGCCTGACCCCAGAGCGTGTGCCTGACCCCATAGTGTGTGCCTCACCCCAGAGCGTGTGCCTCACCCCAGAGTGTGTGCCTGACCTCAGCATGTGTGCCTGACCCCAGAGCGTGTGTCTGATGGGGGCTGGGACTCTGACGGGGCCCCTCACAACAACCACAGAGACAACAACAACAACCAGGAATTCACCAAGTGGAATCACCAAGTGGAATCATGACCAGGTAGGAACTGACAGGCTTTCTGGGGAACTTTAAGCCACAATCTTTGCTCCAAATGCTCATGCACCAGAAATTAACCCAGCGGCCAGGCAGACAGAGGGAAAGCCAACAAGCAGGTTCCTTTAAGGTCTGGGACCGTAGCGTGTCATTCACTTTTGTGCGGGTCCGAGGAGCCTGAGGAAACAACGGGTCAACCCCAGCATCAGAGATGGCACCTGCTCATTCTCCTGCCCTGGGGAGTGGCCTCAGGAAGATCACAGAGCTCTTGATTGTTGAAAGGAAAAAGGGTTATTACCCTTCCTGCTGCAGAGTTGCAAGCACCATGCGTAATTTCTACAGGACGTCACGAGGGGGCGCTGTGGATCTTCTCAGAGCTGCAAGGCCTGAAGCCCACCACCCCTGTGCCCAGGAGGCCGGGAGGAGATAAAGGGAAACCCAAGACCAGCACCTGCAAGAGACCGAGGCTCCTTGGAAAGTCTGCACCATGAGCTGGACTGCCCTCCTCCTCCTCCTCCTCGCTCTCTGCCCAGGTTCAGGGCCATTTCAGAGACCAGCCCGTGGAGGGGCCCCTCGGTTTCTGTTCCTTATCCCTGACATGTGTCTGCTTCTATTTCAGGGTCCAGGTCTCAGGCTGTGGTCACTCAGGAGCCCTCAATGACTGTGTCCCCTGGAGGGACAGTCACTCTCACCTGTGGCTCCAGCACAGGGGCTGTCACCGATGGCCTCTACCCGTACTGGATCCAGCAGAAGCCTGGTCAGGTCCCCAGGACACTCATTTATAACACAGACAAGAAACACTCCTGGACGCCGGCCCGGTTCTCAGGCGCCATCCAAGGGGGCAAAGCTGCCCTGACCCTCTCGGCGGCCCAGCCTGAGGACGAGGCCGAGTACTACTGCTGGCTATACTTCAGTGGTGCTCACCACAGTGAGCGACCCTGATGGGGAACCAGGACATGAACCTGAGCTTGGCTGAGTGTGGGTACAAACATGGTCCTGTGATACTGGCATCACGTAACAGACATCTGAGCTCTCAGGGGAGCTTAAACATTGACCATCCATAGAGAGAAGGTGAGGGGAAGGGTCTGAATTGATTCCATTCCTGTTTTAACCCTAAAGCAGAGGGAATAGAGATGAGCAACTAAGGCACAAAAAGCAGAATTCATTTATTTTATTTTATAGAAGGAATAATATCTGCTGGATCAGAACTAAGGAGTAAGGTCAAACACATTTCTTCCAGATAAAAGCATCTCCAATGTTCATTGCCAGCTATGAGCAAAGGAAAGAAACCCTCCTCTCATATGTTACTGAAGTTGTTTTATTGTAATATGCATTTAATAACTATATTGCATATATTTAAAATATATTGAAAAGTATACATCCGTAGCCAGTTTGGCTCAGTGGATAGTCAGCCTGTGGACCAAAGGGTCCAGGTTTGATTCTGGTCAAGGGCACGTACCTGGGTTGCAGGCTCCTCCCCGGCCTGGACCCTGGTCGGGGCATATGCAGGAGTCAACCAATCAATGTGTTTCTCTCACATCAATAGTTATCTCGGTCTTTCTCTCTCTCTTCCATTCTCTCCTAAAATCAATGGAAAAATATCCTCGGGTGAATGTAAAATAAAGTAAATAAAATAAAAAAAATAAAAATAAATGTATAAACAGTTTTAAATGATTCTTCTTCCCTAATGTTCTTGGTTAAATTGTGTCTCCCACCCCCAAAAAAGATATGTTAAAGTTATACTCCTCAGGGCCTAAGAATGTCACCTTATTTGAAAACAGGGTCAGGGGGAAAAAAAGATAAGAACACAGGGTCGATGCCGATGTAATTAGTGAAGATGAGGCCATGCTGGAGTGGGGTGGCCTCCTAATGCCATGTGGCTGGAGTCCTGATAGCAAGAAGCCCCATGAAGACACGGGGAGCACTCTGAGGAGATGGAGGCGGAGACTGGGTGATGCACCTCCAAGCCAAGGAAGGTCCAAATTGCTGGTGTTGCTCAGTGGTTGAACCTCGACCTATGATCCAGGAGGTCATGGTTCAATTCCTGGTCAAGGCACATGCCCGAGTTTCAGGCTCAATCCCTAATGTGGGGCGCACAGGAGGCAGCCGATCAATGATTCTCTCTCATCATTGATATTTCTCTCTCTCTCTCTCACCCTATCTCTTCCTCTCTAATCAATAAAAAACTATACTTTTCTATGTTTTCCAAAGAATGGCACACATAATGCTCGGGTAGTGGGATGATTAGGGATACATGTGATGGTTTTTGATGACATAAACATTGAAAATTTATTTCAATGATATTAGCCTATATATGCATATATGTTTGTATCTATGTATATTTTTGTGTATATATTTTTTGAGCTTTTACCATGTGTCAGGTACTGTCCTGGGATATATAAAAGAACAGAAAATCAAGTTTCCTGCCCTCATAAAGCTGACACTGGCCCTAAATAAAAGTTTGGTAGAATTCAGAAATAAAATAAGCTTAGCATGAAGTTTTCATTTCTGGACGGCGTTTTACCTACCAACTAAGTTTCCTTAATAACCATAGGGCTATTAGGGTTATCAATTGTAAGTGAGTTTTGATCATCTTAATATTTACCGTGGTTATGTAAGTTGTTAACATCAGGGGAGATTTGGTGAAGGATATGTGTACTATCTTTGCAACATTTCTGTGCATCTAAAATCACTTCAAAATAAAAAGCTGAAGTAAGCCTATCTCATTTCCTTCTTCCGAATTTACTCACTAACACCTGTTGAACTAGATCCCAGGTCTGGCTGTAAAACCTTCCACATTCAATCTTGGAGCGTTTGTATTTTCCAGGTAGTCATCTCTAAATAAAAATATAAAAAATAATGCTCACCTTCTGCCTACTTTTCATGGGTACAATGAACCTCCGCTGAAGCTTGACATTTAAAATACAGACCTTCAGATGGAAACCAGGCAAAGGAAGAAGCCCGCGAGGAGGGCCCGGAAGAATTCCAAGTGCCAGCGTCCCCCGTCTCCTCCCTGTGGGGTAGGTCACGGACAATGCGAACGCCTCCTGGCATCCACGTGCCACACTCTGCACGGAGTACTGCCCACCAGGAGAGTTCACCCAAGCTCGGCGTCCAGAGTGTTTTTGGGGGGACTTGGTCATGTTGACCATTCACACAGATGACTTTAGTCTCCACCCATTTGGCCGTAAAACATTTAACCCTCGGTCTTTGGTCTTTTTCTTTTAATTCTCTAAAGCAGTGGTCGGCAAACTGCGGCTCACGAGCCACACGCGGCTCTTTGGCCCCTTGAGTGTGGCTCTTCCATAAAATACCGACTTCTGCACATGGGCCACGAAGTTTCAATCGCACTGTACGTGCGCACCCACACGTGGTATTTTGTGGAACAGCCACACTCAAGGGGCCAAAGAGCCACATGTGGCTGGTGAGCTGCAGTTTGCCGACCACTGCTCTAAAGTAAATAATTCTGACGAAAACCAGCTGTCTATTCCATGTAAGGCTCAAAATAAATAATGTCAACAGAGTCAGTTGGCCATGAAATCATCCCTTGAATCATGCAAAGCACTCAGATAAGAAATGAAGGCCTTGTAACACTGACACTGACCCTGGGGTAGGATTTCAACAACAACCAGAGGAAGATGTACCAACAGGAATGAGCCAAGAAGAGAAGAGCAATGGATGCGGGATGGCCTGGGAAACAACAGCTGCGATGTTAACAAGGTAAGTCAACTGTTAAGTTCATAACTGAGAGGAGATCACACACTCTCAGCCCAAGAAGGCCGCCAGGGGGCGCTATGGATCTTCTCAGCGGCCTTGAACTTCAAGTGGCTCCAATTCAATGGACCATGAAGGGTTGCTCCCTGGCCTGTATAACAGCTTAGAGCAGCTGTTTCCTCCCACAGGGTAGACGCACAACCTCCACCCACCCCTGGCTCACCCGCTGGCTGTGTAGCTGCTCCCAGGGCTGAGGACCTGGGTGGTGGATGACACAGGTGACAGGTTTGCATAAGGCGAGCCTCCAACACACCCCTTCACACAGCAGCTCAGTAGGAGATAAAGAGTCAGCAGAGAGGCCAGCCCCAGCTCAGAGCCAGGGGGCCCTTCTAACGTCTGCACCATGGCCTGCACCCTCCTCCTCCTCCTCTTCCTCACTCACTGCCCAGGTGAATACAGACCCCCCTACCAGCCACTGGAGGGGTCCCTCTGCCTTTGTTCCTTATCCCTGACAGGTGTCTGCTTTTGGTTTCAGAGTCCAGGTCTCAGGCTGTGGTCACCCAGGAGCCCTCAGCGACCGTGTCCTCGGGAGGGACAGTTACTCTCACCTGTGGCTCCAGCACAGGGGCCGTCACCGATGGCCACTATCCGTACTGGTTCCAGCAGAAGCCTGGCCAGGCCCCCAGGACACTGATTTATAACACGAACAACAGACTCTCCTGGACCCCGGCCCGGTTCTCAGGCTCCATCCGAGGGGGCAAAGCTGCCCTGACCCTCGCAGGGGCGCAGCCTGAGGACGAGGCCGTGTACCACTGCTGGCTGGTGTACAGTGGTGCTCGGCACAGTGAGAGACGCAGATGGGGAACCAGGACATAAACCTCCGCTGGGGCCTGTGACAGGGGATCACGTGATCAGATACGCCAGCTCTCAAGTAGCCTAAATGTGGATCATCCATTGAAAAGTAAAGGGAAGGGTACCCAGCTGGCGTGGCTCAGTGGTTGAGCATTGACCTAGAAACCAGGAGGTCAGGGTTTGAGTCCCGGTCAGGGCACATGCCCGGGTTGCGGGCTCGATCCCCAGTGTGGTGTGTGCAGGAGGCAGCCGATGAATGATTCTCTCAAAAATGATGTTATATAATAAATCTTGCTTTTATTTCTTTTTAATTTTTAAAGTCCTCACCCAATGAGTGAGAAAATTTTTTCCATTGATTTTTAGAGAGAGCGGAAAGGATGGGGGAGGGAGAGAGAGAGAGAGAGACAAACATCGATGTGTCAGAGACATCAATTGGTTGCCTCCTATCTGCACCCCAACCGGGGCTGGAGGATTGAACCTGCAACCAAGGTACAAGCCCTTGACTGGGAATCGAACCCAAGACCCGTTGGTCCATGGGCCAGTGCTCTAACCGCTGAGCCAAACTGGCCAGGTCTAATTAATCTTGTTTTTAATGAAATATCCCTGTTCCATGGTGTGGCTTTTGTGAAGTCAGGGGGAGATGCCTGCTGTTTTCATTAGGAAGCTTCTGTTTACATGTGGCCAGTGTGACCCCTGCTCAGGGCCCAGGACTCAAGTCAGGACAGCTGCCTAAAGAATGCAGCCTCGCCCTCCCGAAGTTGTCCCTCAAAGGGCGCCCTTGTCAAATGAAGTTCACGACCCCAGCGGCAGCCTGCCCTGGAGAGAGAGTCTGTAATGAGCCAGGTCAGAACAGGGACCGAGTCCAGCTGGGTCCCACTCAGGGGACACCACAGATGCGGAGGTCTGTGCGTCCTTACGTTTTCCTGAACATGCGCTCTGTGCCAGGCTCGGGTTAGAGCTCAGAGCACAGCACTGACCAGACAGACGGGTCCCATCCTCCCGGGGCTGACCCTACAGGGAAGTGAGGGACAACCGGCCATGAGAAGAAGGCATATGGTGGGTGTGACAAGAGGTGACACTGAGAAGAAAGGGGTACACACCAGGAAGCCCTCAGAGGTTTTTATGCAAGGAGGAGATGGAATCTGAGTTCCGCTTCTCCAAAAGATGGAATGGGGGGAGCAGCGTAAAGGCACAGCCACAGAGAGAACTAAAAACTCGGGAGCAGAGCGAAGAGGGCTTGCAAACAGGAAAGGCCCCGCAGGAGCGCATCTGCCCTTTGGTGATATTCTCACTGTGGACACTAGAGGGGGCTGTGGGCCAGCGCCTGGGAGGCAGGCTCAGCTGTGAAATGGTCCTGTATGCCCCAGTCCAACTGTCACTGATGTGGGGCAGCTCAGGGGCTGCACTGCTCAGCGCCCGGGAGGGGAGTTTATTTGCATGAAATGCCCACCCCCGGGGGTGGAAGGAGCTAAAATGAGAGCAGTGCAGGCTGACTCTGTGCGGAGGGGGCTCGAGAAACACAGCACGGGGGCGTCACCACCATGGCCTGGGCTTCACTCCTGCTCGCACTTGTGGCTCACTGCACAGGTCAGGGGGGCCTCTCTGGGCTGCGGGGGGGAGGGCGGGAGTGAGAGAGACCACAATGCTCCTTCCGGACCTCCGTCTCCGTTCCTGACCTTTAGTCTCTCACCTGTTTTCAGGGGCCACTTCCCAGTCTGTGATTCAGCAATCCTCACTGATCACGAACCCTGGGGGGACGGTCATACTCACCTGTGGTGCCAGCACGGGGGCCGCCATCACCACCGGTAACTATGCTAGCTGGATCCAACAGAAGCCCTACCAGGTACCCAAAGGTATAATAGGTGGTACCACCAACCGAGTTCCAGGGGTTCCGGTCCGATTCTCCGGCGCCCTGGCGGGAGGCAAGGCCACGCTCACCATCACGGGGGCCCAGCCGGAGGACGAGGCGGAGTATTATTGTGCTCTGTGGTTCAGCAACCATTTGCACAGTGACAGATGCAGGCGGGGAAGTGAGACATAAACCCCGCTCAGTGCCCTCTGCCCCTGCACTTCCTGTGTGTGCACAGCTGAACCACAGGCCCAGGCAGTGCGTCTGCCATGGGAGGGATGTGAGTCTCCAAGGGCCGGAGGGCAGACTGTGGGTAACAACCACTAAGACCGCCCCCACTGACCCCACCTCCCGGGGTTCATGCTCTTGGTGATCCCTCTCCCGGGTGTGGGCTGTCCTGGTGAGGTGGCGGTGAGTGTGAGGACTTCAGGATGATGGAGGAGAAGGGCAAAAGGACTGTTAGGAGACGCGGTAACAGAGAGAGCTCTGTTTGGGGGGCACTAGGAAGGTGAGATATGAGGGGAACCCCCTTCGCAAACAGGCGCAGGCCAAGGACCGGAAGAGAGCAAAGGACTCCCAAAGCAGGAAACGCACCTAATTAACGGAGTCCCTTCAAAGCAAAACATAACCACCTTTCCCTTAATGTGTGGGCTGAGCGGAGCGCCTCCCTTCTAATGAATGGAACAGTGTGAAAATGAGAGTAAAACTGCTGAGACAGGCCGCAAAGGCACTGCAGAGCCCTCGCTCACTCCCCCCTCCCTCCCTCGCTCACTCTCCTCCCTCCCTCGCTCTGGAAGCCAGGTAGTGGCTTCTTGAGAACTCTCAGGTCGCCAGTGGAGAGGCTCCCCTGGAGGACCTCAGGCTTTCTCCCAACAGCCAGAAAGGAACAGTGTCCTCTCACTGGCCAGGGGAGTGAGCCATCTTAGAAGCAAGTCCTCCAGCCCCAGGCAAGCCTTCAGGTGACTAAGACCTCAAGAAGCCCTGAAGTGGAACAACCCAGCTAAGTTGCCCCTGGGTTCCTGGCTCTGAAACAGTGTTAGGCCAGCATGTCAAACTCAAAGGCTAACACGGGCCAAATAAACAAGGTTTAATTATGCGGGCTGCAAAAAAAACAAAAGCTTCCATTTTCATAGAAACATAGGTTTGTTTTGATAGAGACATGCTGAATACAAAGAGCTGAAATAAATGAGTCATGTTAATGAGTATTTATGCGGCCCGCGGGCCACAAGTTTGACATGCTTGGTGTAAGGTACCAAGTATTTTGTGTGTTTTTTTAAAGCTGTTAGTTCTGTACTTTGTTATACATCAATAGACGACTAATAAACTCCCAACTGTGAACTGTCTTTAATCCGGTGGCTCTTCCTCTTTAGTCCAGTTTTTAGCAAGATTACTGCTGGGTCAGTAAAAGGGAAAGGCCTCCCTTTGGTATCTGATCGAATTCCTATCCCTTACCCTATCACCCTTGCCTGTCCTTGGTGATAATCCTGTCAAGTTGGTTTAGCCAAAACCGACCTTATCCTTGAAGTTTCTTCTTAGAAATCTCCTATCCACTGACACCCATCCTGTTTCTTGGCAGTAAATCCCCACTTTGCTCTTGATGGAGTCAGAGGTTAGCTCAATCTCTTTCCTGTAGTACAAAACCGCATTGTAGTGTCCCCCCTTGAATAAAGTTTTCCTTACTGTCTTTAAGTGTCAAGAATAATTTTTCTTTAACATTTCCAAATTTTGTTACTAGTAATTATTCTCAAATGAATATTTTCATACCTTTACCTATTACACTAGATTCATTTTGAGAGATCTATTTTCAGATTAAAACATTTCATATCTTTACTATAGAAACAAAAAAGTATCATTTTTTAGTAACTCATTTGTAATTTGAAAAGGATATATTTATATACATGGACATGTCAGTGTATAATAAACACCCCCCCCTTAAAGCTCTCAGGAAAATTTTAATTCTCAGTAAAACTACACATTCAGACTACAACAGTCAGCCTGCAAATTTTTAAATCTTATAATTAAGTTACCAAAAAAGTATGGAGAATTAAAACTTTAATAAAAATAAAAATATGCATCAAAATATTTGGGATTCAGACAAAGCTATAAATAAAGTCAGGCAGTCTTAAATCCTTTAATACAGAAAAATTAACTTTTAAAATAAAAAGCCATAATAAAGAACAATCCTTTAAAAGTAGGTGTATAAAAGCCCTGGCCAGGTAACTCGGTTAGAGCATCATCCCAATATGCCAAGGGTGTGAGTTCAATGCCTGGTCAGGCATATGTGAGACTCAACCAATGGGTAAGTGGAACAATAAGTAGATGTGTTGGGGTGTTTCTCTCTCTCTAAAATCAATTAATACTTTTTTTTAAAAGACAGAAAAAGTAGGTATATAATGAATCAAGACAAAAATAGAGAATAAAAATAAAACTACTTGGGATAATAAATCAAGAATTGCTTCTTGGAACAAGTAAATCAGAAGCATTGACAAAACTGTGGCAAACTAATGAGGGGAAAAGAAAATGCATTTCAATATTAGAAATAAGAAGGAAATGATATTCTGAGTACAGGGGATAATATTCATCCTCAAGTAGAACTATTTTTTGCTTCAAGAAAGTTTTTAATAGAAAAGTTGCAAATCCAGCCAAGTAAAACGTTGGATCAGTAATGAAAAGGTGAGTGATTATGGCATAAACTATCCAATAAAACTAAATAACAATTCTCTTTAAGTATTCTAAAGATAGAAATTCATTAAGCCGTATACTCATTACCTGTCATGGTAAAGCATTTCTCATTGAAACCAAGAGCAAGAAATCCCATTTTCACATCTTTTTGAAGTTCTGGCCAATGCAGTAAGATTAGAAATAAACACGATTGCCCTAGCCGGTTTAGCTCAGTGGACAGAGTGTTGACCTTCGGACTGAAGCGTTCTGGGTTCCATTCCAGTCAAGGGCACATGCCCAGGTTGTGGGTTCGATTCCCAGTTGGGGGCATGCAGGAGGCAGCCAGTCAATGATTGATTCTCTCTCATCAATGATGTTTCTATGTCTCTCTCACACTCCCTTACTCTTTGAAATCAATAAAAAATATATTTTAAAAAAATAAACACAATTGGAGGAAAGGCAAAGAGTTTACATAGTAGTGCTAAAAAAATTAAACTATAAATATGCGATGTTACGAACAAAAAGACAAATAACAAAAATGTGTTTTCAAAATAACATTTTATTATTATAACTGCTATTTTATTTAGAATTTTTGGCAACAATAATAAAATAAAATTTATCTGAAAGAACAAGCAAGCCAAATAGACATGGACATTCATGAGGGGTAATAACAAAATAGTAATCTTGACAGCTATTCAATATATTTGTAAACAAAACAAAGTGGAATTGCTTTAAAAAATATAGAGGTATCAATAGAAAAACAGAGAAAGCTCCTGAAGGAACTCAACTCACTATATTAATTTTCTTTTGGTTGCAGGCACAGAAATGGACTTGAGCGAGCTCCATTCTAAGAGAGGAGCAAAGTCCTTAATAATTATCCCTTCCTAGTTTTTTTGTGAAAACCTAGGAAATTTAACTAGATGAGAGAGGGAAGAAAGTAGAAAAGAGATATAAAGTGTCTCTTTGGAGAAGAAAAGGGGTGGGGCCGAATTTCATTGTCAGTGTCATTTTAAGAACTTTAATGAAACTCAACGAATCAAAGGAAATGTCCAACAAATAATTGAGGTAGAAAGCCATGCAGGTCTAGGGGAAGAGAATCCTAAGACAAAGAACAGCAAAGTCTTTGCAGTAGGAAGAAATGTGATTTGCTTGAGGAAAAGCAAGGCCAGTGCATCAAAAATAGTGCACCAGGAGAGAAGCATGGTAAAGAATGAAAACCAGAGAGGAGGTAAGCAGGGGCTACATCACTGAAACCTTGGCAATAAGTAACAATTTGTACTCCTTACGGGCACATTTTAGTGAAATAGCAAACAACAGTAACAGTTGATAAAACCAAGTAGCCACAAACACATAGAATAAAAACATTTCATATTTTTACCATCGAAACAGAATAAGGGAGCTAAGTATGCAAAGTCTAAAGATCTAGTTATACCCAGAAATTTCCACCTGATACCAACACACACACACACACACATACACACACACACTTTTCTACCCCCTAAAGAAAGGAGTTCAGGCTAAAATTTCAGCAAAGTGCCTTGGTCCAAGCAAACAAACTGAAAAGGCCTAGTAAAATGTTCAAAGTGCAAATCCATCAATCAATTAGTCAAGCATTGAGCAAATACAACAAGAATCCACACAAAGGATATTATCTAAAACATGGACAATATACTCACAGCTACTTTACTGTAGTGCCTCCTCCCCAACTCTTAAGAGGGATGTTAAACCCTTGATGATTATCACTTCTCAGGTTTTTGTGAAAGTTTACGGAATTTGAATAGATTGAGGAGGGAAGAAAGGTGCCTTGAAGAAGAGAAAGCAAAGGGAAAAAAAGATTTTCCTGGCTTAGATCTCTAGCCAGGATCCCAGATTCCTTGAGTGGAGCACAGAGGCTGCTGGGTACCTGGGC